CGATTGCCTGTTTGCTCATCAGACTCTGGGTGGAAGATGCGCCCCCACCACCACTTCTTGTGCCGATCGTGAACCGGCCTCCCCGTACAACTTAAGAATGAAGAACGCGTGACGCCAGATGGGCGACAGAGCGCAACTTTTACTGACACTGCTTATCAGTGGAGTTTGGGGGGAGCTGCTATCTGTCACGTCCCCTCCCCCCCTCTGTTTTTATTTTTATTCATTTAACCTGCCTCTGGTTTGTTTTAGGATCAAGATGAAACGCCTGATCCTGTGTAGTACAAAGCAAGAAACATTATATACAGTATATATAAATATATATATTTATGTGTAAATATATTATTTATATATATATGTGTTTGCTTTTTACAGGTTTTAATTGCCTTTTTTGATCCGCGACAACAGTCAACATTTTTAGAGGCAGGGTGTGGGGCTTTTTTGTTTTCTTTTCTTTCTTTTGTTTTCTTTTTTTTTTTAGCTTTAACTCTGTTGAAGGAGAAAATAATCCAAATGCAAAAACATTGCTTGTCTCTTCGTAAAAAACCAAATTCTTTTGCTAAAAAAAGAGTGAAAAAGACAGCAAATCTGTCGATGTATTGAGTGTACAAATTGTTTTGATAGCTGCACAGTCAGATATTGGGTTCATATCCCCCCTCCCATGGTATTCATGTTTATGACATTTTAGTATGTTTACTTTCTTAAATTTTATTTTCTAGTTCAGACTCGCTGCAGCAATAAGTGAGTGAGATTTGAGTACCAAACGCCCCCTTGCCTGACTGTCTCTATAAGAAGTGTTTTCAGTGTATATGTTGCTTTTTTCCATGCCTCTCACACTTACTGTACATTTTGTACAAAGATTCAAATTACAGCAGTAAAAGAAGAGTGTAACACTGTCTGAGTGACACACACATGCACACACTCTTTTCACAAGGCTAACTCTGTTTTTTGGCCCAAATCAAACTATAAAGGATAATGTAGTTGCTCTTACAGTGATGGTGGTTCTTAAAGGTCTAATATACCATTTGCTACATGTTTCTAAAGAAGCTAAATGTTATCATTTGCTGCTTAAACTGACAGTTTCAATGGCACTATGCATTCTGGAAATCATCTGATTGTCCTTAAACTACGCTCATATGTTTTGCAGGCAGGCACATGGATAATCATGACAAACTTCTATGCATTTTTCAAGCAAATTTGCAACATCTTACATTATTACCTTTTAAAATGAAATAAGAAGCCTACATTAGTGTACGTTCCCATAGTGGGGTCCCATAAAAGAGGTTCACTTTGAAAATGGTCACTATACTGGGAAAGTATTAGTTGTGGTGTTTAAAACAAACTTAATGAACTTGTTTTGAATCTATCATCTTGATGGTTTGCATCATCAAACACTCAAGTTTCCAGATTCTGCTTATTGTATATATTTTGCTATATTCTTGATATCAGAAGTCACTACACCGCGTATATGATCTTAAAAAAACAAAAGAAGCTATTTTTTTATGTATTAGCTGCTGTCAGCATCAGCAGTTCAGGAAACAGACATCAGAAAAATGTTATACAGTAGACATAATTAATTTGGCGTTACAATTTAAACCATTAGCTTATATAATATAACGTAAGAGTCTGAGTATATTTTAGTTTCCCACTTCCACAGGAAATCTACTGATGTTCCAGGGAGTCTTCACATCAAGCCAAACACAGCATTGAATGTACAGTCTAATACAACCCATTAATGTTATTTAGATTTTCATCTTGTCTAATGAGTAAATATAGAATTACATTTCACAGTATTTAGATCCTAAATTAGTTTCATTCAGCTGAGCATTTTTTTTTTTTTAGAAAAATAAAATGGGGATATCTAACAAGGTCTGCGACAAGAACAAAATTATTCTCGATTGAAGATAAGGGATTGTTAAGGGATTTTATTTATTATTATTAGAACTTCATAATGACGTCTTGAGTTCAATACATGTTTCTATATGGTATCATGAAAGACGGTTGTTTTTGTTTCTCAGGGTATATTAGATCTAAGTCATTGGACATGTATGTATTTTTTATTATTAAGTTTTGTCATTTAAAAGCAAATTCCTTTTTGTTGGAAGCTTTTATTCAGTGTTGGTCACTCTCAACTTCCCATGAACTGCAGGGACACCTACTGGACTGGATGTATTTCACAATACACTCACATTCAGCGCCATCTGCTGGACAGATATCGACTACATCTGATAGGAAGGAACTGCACATATAAAAGAGTAATAGATTATTTCCTAATACTCGACCTGTTTCTTTAAAATGTCAAAAACATTTAATAATAAATATTATACAAACCTTTAAAATCTCGTTTAATTAATACCTTAGGCTGAGCTACGACCATTTCATAGAATGTTTTTAGTATTCTTAAAAATGGTATATAACAATTTATCCAGTTTTTCAATATCAGATATACAGTGTGTACAACATCTGGATCTAAACTTGACTTTTGGATAAAGTTGCCATTGGTTTGTGTGACCAGGATGATTTCAAACAGCGCTGCTCAAAATGGCTCTTCTGACAGTTGAGGAGTTTACAGCACTCCCATTTGGGCGGCACATTTTTCTAGCAAACAACTTTTTCTTATGGGACACAACGTGTTTTCCGCCAGAGGGCGCTTGACGGCCCGGAAGGCAGAATCCATTTAAATAGGTAAGTATAATCAATTTAACCCAGTTGAAATCTGTTCCAGCAATCTCTCTCTCTATATATTTTTGCAAATGATTTAACCAGTAATAAAAACCGACCTTGATTGGTACAGACCCTTTTTTACAGTCTATTGTACAGACAAAGTGTATTTCTATAGTCTTTGGTACAGATGGAACAGCGCTGAAAAAAGTATCAGATATCACGTGACAAAGACTGTAGGCGCCGTTTCAACAGCGGATTTGACTACAATAATTACATATTGTTTGACATTGTATTAAAATACATTTAACTCTTTCCCCGCCATTGATGAGTTATCTCGTCTTTTACAAGAAAACATGCTATACAGATAATGTAGAGTCCTGCATTAATTTGAGTGATGACAGCTATTGTGGGAGCGCAGGAGATGCAGATAACATGATCCCTGACCCTTAAGAAACTTTAATTAATGCTGTCACGTAACAAATCTGTTCAAATATAAAATTAAACACCTTTTTGCTCAAAATAATTATTTTTTTATTAAACCTACCTATATGTGGTTGATCAAAAAAGGATGCTTTAAGCTAGAATAAAACTGATTTTTTTTTTTTTTTTTTTTAAAGAATAGGCTTTGTTAACACCCTGTTCTGATGACGCAAGAGTTGCAACTATGGCAGCTGAGAAGGCCATTCTTTGAGTTCTTTTTTAAGAATTTTCGGAGCCTGATAAAATCGTTATAAATACGTGTTTAATACTGTAAAATACGCTCGATGGTACAGTCATTGCCCTTGCCCTCCAGAATAAAAGAGAACATCAGTAAAGAGAACAGAATAAAAGGGATTTGTGGAAACTGTGGTTCCTAATTATTGTGATCCAACATTTGCCTCGCATTTCGGGATGAAGAAAGAGTTAAGAATAAAACAAGATCATTATTATTTATATTTACGGTCATTCTAGTCACAGTCAACTACACATTATCCCAGTGTGTAATCAAAGTCCCTTTCAAGGATTTCTATAGTCTGTATATCAGGGCTCTACAGTGAGACCATTTCAGGCGCATTTGTGACTGAAAACTACTGCGTGCATATCTCACGAATCCTTTCATAAGCAAAGTGTAGACAGGGTGTACTTATTATTTTTATTGTGAGTATTCAGCTTATCATTACTGCTGATCACTGTTGTTGTGCTGTATTGTAATATTTCCCATTATATAATCAGAGGGGTATAGAAAATTTTATGAAAGTGTCACTCCATAATAAAATAGCAAAATATATAAATATGTATAGTATTTTTATGTTACATTAATCAGTATTTAGCACACCTTCCTAAGGAAAGGATATGGACCAGAAGACATTGCAATTACTA